CTTGCACAACAACCCTGTGAGATAGGTTAGGCTGAAAGTCTGTGACTGGTCCAAAATCACCCACTCAGCTTTTACAGCAAGAACCTGGATCTAGGAGAGCCTGCTCTAAAGCACTGACTGCTATGCCTAGGGCAGCCAACCTCCGGTTGGAGCCCGAAGATCACCAGGTATCACAACTGAACTCCAGAAAACAGATCTCCCCCCCCCCCGAGAAAATAACTGCTTTGGAAGGTGGGCTGTATGGCATTCTGTTCAGCTGAGGCCTCTTCCCTCCCCAAACCCTGGCTTCCATAGACTCTACCAGAAAATATGCAGGAATCTCCCTACCTGGAGCTGGCAACCCTAATCAGGACTGGCCCCAATGAGTTCCTCACAAAGGCCTTTGTCTGAACCAAGCTTAGTTGCCTACCATGGTGAAATGGGCTCCAGTTTACAACTCAGCAGTTTGCCTCCCACCCTTGTCCCATGGGCGTATCTCACTCCTCTGCCACCACCCACGGAATCGTCACTGCCTTTTTAGAGAGACAGTGAGACCCCTCTGGCGGAATCTCTCTATTTGGAGATAGAATCCCCAATCTTTGGGGAATCCCTGGAAAGTTGGCAACCCAAGGGCCTGGCCTTTCCTTGCTTCCCTGGGCTACCCTCTCTCTTTGGTATAGTGCAAAGCAGGGAAGACTATGTGGTCAGAGCACAACACAGCATCGGGCGGTCGACATATGAATGAGTCGGTATTGAGGACAATGCAGCTGTTGATGCCGAAGCGGGTATCGAGGACAGCGCAGCTATCGATGCCGAAGTGGGTGTCGACATTGACGTATGTCCCGAAGTGTCCTGTGACAACATCGGTGAGAGCGCTAACTCCAAAAGCACAATGCGAAGTCTAGCACCTCTGTTCTTTCTCGTCTGCTTCAAGTACTTTGCGCAATGTGCACAAGAGTCCACTTGGTGCAATTCCCCAAGGCACAGAAGGCAAAGTGAGTGTCCGTCTGGGGGTGCGATTTTACTACCACACTTGAGGCACCGTTTAAAGAAACCCCACCTCTTGGCCATAGGCCGGAAGGGGACACACACACACGGTCTGCAAAAAGGAACCAAAGGACTAAGTCCAAGTTAAGAGAAAATCATAGCAACAATGTCCTTTCACTAGTTGTTGTTGTTGTTCAGTCGCACAGTCGAGTCCAACTCTTTGCGACCCCTTTCACTAGTAGAAAGCAAGAAAAAAAAGAGTTAACTTTGAAGAAGAAAAAAAGAAATAGGGGTGAAGGCCAAAAAGTTTTACCGATCGAAGCAGAGATCCTACCAGCGTGGGGGTCAGAAGACAACTGGTGGGATTGCCGTGCCCCTCCCTTAGTCATGCGCAGTGTGGCCGGTGCGTGACTGGGGAGCGGGCACAAAAATCTCTTTCGCTTTTCAAGAGGAACCTAACGAGGACGGCACAGGCACAGTATAGCCCAAAGGTATGATGCACAGAGACCACGAAGAAGATCATTCAGTTGCTGACCTAAGAGTAGCAGTTCTCTTACAAAGAAATTTCAAACGGAGATTAGAGAGACTGAATTGCTACTGATAATGAAGCTCAAGACAATGCATCCTCCTGGACTGAAGTGAAACCTAGGTTTCCTGTCTCATTACCAATGCTGATTTCTCTACACCTACTACCCCACTGCATATCACATCTAATCCATGTCATTCACCTGCTATCGTCATTCGGCATCTGAAATCACTCTACTCTCCAATTAAAAGGACAGATGGATTCACATTCTAGCTGTATCTGAAGAAATGAGCAGTGATTCATGGAAGATCATACCCTGCCACAAATTGTGTTAGTCTTTAAGGTGGTACTGGACTCTTGCTCTTTTCTACTGCTATGGACAGACTAACATGGCTACCCATCTTGATCTCTTTGCCACGTGTGAGATACATTAACTGTAACGGAACATTTCTCAAAAACGCATAACTTTTGGGTAAGTTAATGACAGCTTACGAATTATTAGTTACAGATATATTATGGGAATTAGGTTGATAACAGAGAATGCTACAAACCTCGAATGTCACTAGTAATATTAACAGGGAGCTGTCAAACAAATCCTGTTAACATAACAGTATACAGATGCTAAAGATAAGTGCAATTTTTGCAAGTTGTACAAGACTGAAACAGTTAAAATGATAGCATTGTGACATATCCATCTCAGGCTTAATCTCTGAATAGTATTAGGGATCCAAAGTGGGTATCCAGGCTTTTCTAGCCTCTTGTTTCAGTACAGCCCTGTGCACACCCTGAAGAGCTGCTCCTGGAGGTCAAGGAACCCAACAGAGCAGGATTCCATACAATGCCAAGGGCTGAAGTCAGAAAGCAGCATCAGAAACTCTGCCCAGGCTGGTAGCCACGAGGGGCCCTTTGGGGGGCAGTGCCCCCACGGATGAACCTTAGCCCTCCCCACGCTACAGGCATGTGCTGCTGCTGTGGCATGACTCAGTGAGGGAAGGGGAGGTCTTCTGTGCAAAGCTTGGTTCATCCCAGGTCTTTCTCCTATTTCATTTACATGTTGGAGGTCTTCCAAATTGTCTCAATTGGTTGAGGTTCTTAAAAATGGTCTTATTTTAGACAAACTATCCTTGGATCATAAAGCTAATATTCCTCTACCTTGGTTCAAATACCTTCAACTCAAACACCTGGTAGATTTTCTGTTGCTCAAGAGCAGACTTCATACAGAGGTCACTGACTTTGAACATCTGCTCTTGCAAAATCGAAAGGGTTCTACAGGTCTAATATCCATTTTATATAAGTTTTTAATTTCGGTTTCTAGTTCTCCTCTTCCCTCTTATGTCAAGGCTTGGCATAAGGAAGGCATTTCTTTTATATCCAATAGCCAATTGTCCTCTATCTGGAATTTCTCTATTAATCATTCCAAGATCATTAACAATATCTAGTTTTTTAAAAAAGTTATGGCTCGCTCGTACTGTACTCCACTGCAGATTCATTGTATGAACTCATCCTACTCACCCATGTGTTAGAAAAGGTGTGGATTTCCTGGTTCCTTTCTCCACTGTTGGTGGTCCTGCCCTCTCATCCAAAATTTTTGGTCCTCTGTTCAAGACCAAATTTCTATCATCACAGGCCTCTCCATTACACCCTGACTCAATGTTGCTAAACCCTAACCCAAATCCCCCAGGTTAAGAAAGATTTGGTCTCTATATTATGCACCACTGCGATGTCTGCAATCGCCTCCTCCTGGAAATCTCCCTCACGCCCAATTCTGAAGAGTTGGTACAGGAACAGATGGGATTATCTCACAATGGAAAGGATAACGATACAAATCTCAAATAAAGACCCTTACTCTGCCTCTCTTATTATAATTTTTGGTACCCTGTTTTAAATTGTATTGCTCAAAACAAAGACCTTTTTGATTAGAATTGTGTTATAGATGTTTTACTAATTTATTGATAATTATTTACTATCATCTCATGTTTATGAAAGTTTATCTGATGTTACATTTTCAAAACCGTTAAATACCTCCCCTTCCCTCCCTGAGTCACACTGCAGCAGCAGCAGCACACACCTGCACTTAAAGAGACATGAGGTAGAGGAGGTAGGGCCAGGGAAAGTGAGGGAGAGAGGGAACTTGAGTCACTCCTGCCAGCCCTTGCTCCCACTTCCTTATGCAGCTGACTGGGATTGGCGGGGGGAACCATCGAGTTTCCAGCCCCATTGCCAGAGCATCACCCGGCATCACTTCCTGGCGACAGCATGGTGCGGCGTGTCTGTTGTCCACGCGGGAATGATCCTGCGAAGACGTCTGTGTCCCCCGCCAAATCACAGTAAGTACTTGGGAAGCCTGGCCCGGGGTAAGGAGCTTAAGTGGCTGAAAGGGAAGATTGGGGTGGGGTGGATTAACATTTAATTTAATTAGCGGCACCCTGTCACCCCCCCAAAAAAATCCTATGCTAAACATATTTTAGCACCTTTTGAGTAGTATTATGTTTTCATTCAGTTTACATACTTTTGCTAAGTAATATCAAAAAAGGAGACAGAACAGACACAAAATATTTTAGAGGTTATTTCATTAAAAGTTTACACAGAATTCTGATAGAGGAGGAGCAAAAATAAAACCATGACTTTGAAACAGAACAAAACACATTCACCACGTTTAAAGCACAGAAGTTCAGTTCTACATTTTAGTTGTTGAAGCCCAGGAACAAAGTAGAGATGAAATTTCTATTTTAGTGCCTTCCAGCTCATTGTATTAAGGAAATAAAATCATTAATACAATGGACCTTTCTTCTTCCTTGATTGTTTTATACTTCAGCGTCATCGAACCAACTAAGAACAGTGGAATAAAAAGCAATCCTCTTCATTTTTCCAAATATTTAATTCTCCAGCTGAAGGGCAGAGAGGGGGTAAAGAGAGGGGAAAAACTTCGCATCACCTTGTGTGCACAGAATGACAAGCACACATTTTGTGACTAATCAATCACCAGCACATTACCATTTTATGAAAAACAAACTCTGACTTCTTCAGAGGAGTTTAACAGCTGCATCTGATTTTCTGGGATCAGGGAAAAGGACAAGTCCTAGAGGGAAGCCATATGTAATATAAAAACTGTAAACGGAGCAAAGCAATGACTTTAGCAGAGTTCAGGCTTTGTAGTCCTAGTCAGAGTCAGGATTATGGCACAGCTATGCAGGTGGATTCTCATTAAAATCGTTTTCTCTTGATGATTTCTGGTTTCCAGCTGACAGGGTGAGTTTCTTCAGTCTAAAAGCATTAAAAATACGCATATCAGAATTCTTGCCTGCTTTCTAACTTCTACACAAGCGATGGTCTCATGTTTTATATCAGCTGCAGTGTATTTTATTGTGCAGTCCCACGTGACATGCAACCTCACACTATTATTCCCCCAGTTTAAAAGGACAATATGAAAAACAATGTCGTGTGTGTGGGGAGAATCAGTTTAGTCCAATAAAACAGTGCCAGAAGTATGCATTATAGAGGCAGAAACATATTGTAAAGCCTGCACACAGAGACACAGGCACTAGACTTTATCTAAAGAAAATCCTCACGAGGGAGGCCATTATTTCTTTTCTACAGATGGTGGAAGGAGACTTCAGTTAGTTACGAGCTAAGCAGGGATTCGATGACAGTATTCCAGATCAATGTTCTGCTTCTCTGGCAACTTTAATGGGACCAGAAATGCATCAAAGTGAGACACACAGGATACAGAGAGCTTTCCAGCCCTTAGTTTGCTTATAAGGGGAAAAGGAGTTGAAAATCTCACTGAAGCTGGAAAAGTATACAATCAGGTAACATATACAATTGTGCAAGCTTCCCAATGTAAATCTTATCTAAAATTAAAATATGATAAACAATTTCCTTTGATCAGTGATTCCAGATAAATAACCTGGGGAGTTTCTGACCTTTAAACAAGCAGAGTTTCTGCTTTTTAAAGGGTACCATATCTCTAGGTTTGGAGCTAAAGGTGTTATTCTCTTTTCATGAGGGAGAGGACATCTCACTCATTTCACTTGGTTGTTAGAAGGCTACAACATAGTAACCAAACTGATTTCAGTTTACAATTATGGCTGTTTATGAGATTTCTCTATCTCATTAATATCTGTTTGCAACAGAAGTAGACATGCTGCCTCTGTTCAGTTAATAAGTCAAGGAAAGCATCTTTTCAGCTCAATGCTTCCAGTAAACCTTTCCTACAAGTATCCTAATCCCAGGTTATATATAAAACTTAAGACCCTAATAGTATTATAAAGAATGTTTTCCATACCGCAGTATCATCTTCTCTGTAGACTTTAATAGTTTTATCAGCTTCAGCAGTAAGCATTCTGCTTTCTGACTGATCAAACGCACAAGCAAATATTCCGGATTCACTGTCCAATGAGCCTGGCTGTACAGCCGCATGTACCCTCTGGAAGTTATATCCAGTTCTCCAGTCCCAAAGATGCATAGTACCATTGTCAGCTGAAAAACAAACATGACATTATACAACCTTTGGAACACAAAAGTTGTTGATATACCGCTACTGGGAAAGCTGGTATCAGAACTCTTTTAAAAAATCCATGTTAGCAAGTCCTTCTTTGTTATAAAACGAAGTAATTTGACATGATAGGTATCAATTTCTTACTGGGTTTTGTTTAACTGGATGAAACCCTATAAAGCTTGACCCCTGATCCAGACATCTGTAAGGGCCATAGCAGATCTACACTGAACACACCGTTAATAAGAAGGAATGCCAGAAGTAACCTAGAAAGCTGGCACAGACCTGGAAAAGTGGGTTTATAATAAAGCAAATTAATAGTTTAGTTTGTTATAATGTGCCATGAGTTGCCCATAAAGAACCCTGAAGGCAGAAGCTACAGACGTCATCCTAAAATCCAACATCTAAAACAGAATCCTATAGCAGCTTCCAAACAACTAATGAACAGCAGCTGAAGCAACTGTTAAATATTAATCACTATTCCCCAAAATGCTTTCTGGAATAATAAGACCTGTTTCCACACTGGCATGTGCTTCCCTTGGGAATGAGTTCTGTAATGGGAGCACAGTTACTAAAAATGGCCCTGCTCTTAATTTCCAATCTGACCCTAGATGACAGAACTTGGAGCAAGACCTTCCCTGATGAACACTACGCACAAAGAGATTCACGTGACATGTTGGGCACAGCCTGCTTAAGTCTTTGAAAACTTAAAAGTGGCACTTTACATTTCAACTGGGAGCCAGTTAAGTTCTTTCAGCGCTGGTGTCATTTGCCATTGTGGGTTCACTCCCCCTTACTAAGGGGGGCAGTGCGTTCTGAAATGTCTTCAAAGACCCATCACACAAAGAACACCTAAGAAGGAAGAAAGATCCTACCTACCCAAACTTGGACTTGGTAAGCTGATCATTTCACCAAATACTGTTAGTTAATCAACTGCCTGATATTTGACCTGAGATAAATATTCTATGAAGCCAGAAATGTCATAATGAAGTGGCAGCATACCTTTTAAAAAATTCCATCATGTCATTTGTTAGCAAGAACAGGTGTGAATGCTCTTTGCCTCGTATAACTGTCAGGGGCAAACCTAGCAGCACAGCAAAGCCTAGCTAGCCACTTGCTAAATCTGCATTCATCTCCAAACAAGCTTTTGGTTTTTTCCAGGATAAAACAGTTAACCGTTCAGCATTTATAGAAACTTTGCCTAACTTGTTTATTATTGTTTTTTAGTCCATTGTTTACATCCTACCTTGCCCTTTTGCCTCAAGCCAGTTTACATTTCTAAAGTAAAGCTCCCTATAATACAATAAAACTCATTAGCAAATTCCAGCTTGGTGTAGTGGTTAAGAGC